TGCGGTGGGCGACCCCGTCGTCAGATGGTCCAGCTCAATCAAGAACCACTTGTCAGCTCGAAACCCGGAACTCAACATGTTCCAATGGCAGAAGAGTTCCTGGTAAATTACTTTTTCAATTGGTTCCTAAAAACATTACAGTGGAGCTCGGGAGCTCTACCGTAACATGAAGTAAGCCCTCTCTTTTCATTTTTGGAAGAAAAGCGAAAATAAATTGAAGAATAAGACCGATAGGAGCCTTCGCATTTCATCCTTCCCTCTTCAGTTTTCATCGAGCGTTTCAACTGTTTTCTTTTTATCAATCAATGCTTTATCAAATTTCGCTTGGGTCCCCCATTCGGTCAAACTGAAAGCCTAATATACATTTCTCGTTTCTAGACATTCTTTCACTGCTCAAAGGCTACGGCCTCATTGAGACGTTCGTTTTAGTCCATAACTCGGAATTCAACTGACAACTCCTAAATCTAGCTCGACTGTAGCGCGGCTCCCGAAGATGGAAGGAGAAAGGGCACTCCCGCAAACGTTTTCTTCTTTCTTGTTCCTGCTGTTTATCCATTATGGCATCGGTACTTCCAGAAAACGCAGCGCTGCTTTACGGAATTCGTTAGCAGGTATAGACTCAATATGACAGACGGTGTCAGGCTTCCACCTCGAAACAGCTCGCTGCAAGTTGACGTCATGCTAGACAGCTCCCATCTTTGCGCGTAAGTAGCTTTTGCATTGTGCTTGCCAGCGGCCGAGCCCCGTAAAATGAAAAATTACCTACAAAACGTTTTAAGGCCTTTACAGCAACTTCGAGCAGCTGAACATCTGCATGGATGGACGATACCGCGAGTTGGTGGACTTCGACTGCCTCGCAAATCTCACAAGCTCATCAACGGATGCTGCTTTTTACCTCCGTCAACTTTCTGCGGCCGAATTCTTTTGCGACTTTAGCGTTCCGTGTAAGCGAATAGCATAAACATAAAATGAAGGTTTCTAAGTTTCCGCTTTCAGTCATCGACTATTCACAATGTTCGAATCTGATCGCCGAAGACGTTACCGAAGAATCTTATTCGCAGTGCACTCAAATTGACTGGAATAGTTGTCGGTAAGCGTCAGGAACTCATTGCTAAACTGAAGGGCGTACGCTTTTGCTTTGGAACTACGATACCCACCCTTGCCGTTGCAAAAAAATCAACCAAGGAAAAACGCTGATCTGCCTTCATTCCGTTCTTCTGTTTTATATCACTCGATTTCTACACATTTCCCAAAGCTCATACGGCTGGCCTCACGTCATGGGCATGTAAAAAATTGTTTTGTAGTACGGATATATACAGCGATCCCTTTTCATCTCAACACATTATCCTTTTTGGTTCGGTGTGGACGCCCGGTTCCAGACTATAGGAATCCATAAATTCGCTAGCGAGTCGCGGGCAGGGTCAACGCTAACGTTGTTACGTTTCAAAATTTTTTTTTACGACCCCCCTCCCCCCAAGGTGGATTTGATACGACCCCCTTTTCGACACCTCGACCACCATCATCGTCTCTATAGTACTTAATTCTGATACCACTCAACTCACCAAACCCGCCCACTTTTTCCTCCAAAAATGCCGTCGAGCGGGGGGTATATAGTCACTCTGAAACGGTAAAAATTTACCAAAATTCCCTAAATTTCAACCAATTTACCCTACTTATACCTTATATCTCACTGCTTCCTTTTCTAGGGGGGGGGGGGAATCTTAGTTTCTCCTCAATCCCCCCCCGTGATTTCGGAGCAACTAAAGGGAGTTGACCCCTAGGGTTGACCCCTGGTCGCGCGGTTTACGGTGCGTTACCACCAGCGAATCGAGCTGCGTTAACAGTCGGTTTCGGCGGTGTACTAGCGACTCCATTTGAAACTGGCGGGACTCCCTTGGAGCGTTGGCTCTCGCCACTTTCCAAGGCTCACGTGGGCATAAGAGGGTGAGTCGGCATGACAGCTCGGGGAAGTGGCGATAGTCATCAAGCAAACGGGAGGGAGTCCCACCACTTTCAAACAGTGTCAGTCCGCTGATACGTCTATCGATCTGTTGCTTGATCCGTTAGTGCAGCCAGCTCGTACCGCCAATTGTGACACCCCCGAGCCTATTTGCGAAGAAATGGACTGGACAGTGCATTCGGTGCAGCAGTCGGCTCTCTCTAGCCTTTATCCACTTACTTCTTAAGGTCAGTAGCGGAAAGCCTCTCCTGCCGACTCTCCCTTATCGACACCTTCTGTAGAAGTCATGCTCAGACGCAGGCATTCGTGCACATTATCAGCAGATTCCGCTGCGGATGACCGGCTGGGCGGAATGCACGAATTTACCGTGCTGCGCCGCCGTATTTCGTCCTTCACAATTGTTATGTTTTACACTTTTCAATGAACATTCTCATCCTTATTTTGGTTCTGTTAGATTTGAGTTCTCTTGAAATGTTGTTTGCTCCACCGGTCTCTGCCTCATTATCAACTGGTTCTACTACCTAGTTTCTTTTTGTGTGTTGCTGATTTTCTGACGTCTAGTAAACGTTTCATCTGTGCCTTCAGAAAACAAGCTACAGCCCCCAAACGGTGGTAGCGCTTAATATTCTATCGCAACAGGTAAAATCTATGCCACGGCATCTATGTGAGGCCGGTGTCATACTCTGCGAATTCGCCAGCGATTGGGCGTTTCGCTAGCAATTCGTGAGGTACAAGCGATGCGCCTGCGATTTCAGTCACTGATTCGCCGGCGCATCGCTCGTACCCCTCCAAATGCAACGGAACTATGGATGCGCTAGTGAATTTTCGGGTTTGCAATGTCTGACAACGACCTGAGCTTACTCTGGACTTTCAGCATCACTCCCTAATGGTGCGGTTATTAGTTTTTGAAGTGGTTCGATGCCCACGTAATAGATTGCTTGCTTCTGAGAAATCTCATCTGTTCAAAGCCTCGTGACGGACACCTTTTCGCCTGAATTTCAGAAATTTTTGAGAGGACTGACAGGAGAATTTGATCTTGAGCTTTACTTATCTCCACAGTTCAACTCACATTGTTTTGAGAAGGGAGAGATAAATGACATCAACAAAAGAGTCGAATTCTTCAGAGCGGACTGAGTGTAAAACCGTCAAAAGTTAGTGGAACTGTAAGCGCTTTCCACTGCGTTGAGTTCATCAGTTGACACTTCGCGCTTCGTTTTGATATCAGAAGCCTTTTTGGGGTGATGTGTGGTGTCTGTCGAGTTGTGTCCGCCTTCCTCCGAGCTGGAAGTTTCTCTTTTTGGCTTTGCTCCAGCATTCGTCTTGGGATGGTGGGTGCTTTCCGCGTGGTCATCCTCCTGCGAACTTGAGGTGCCTCCTCCTGCAACTACCATTTTATATTAAAGTCTGGAGCCTTATGGATTGATGTCAAATGTTTAGTGGTGCTCCCACCTGAAGGCGTTACAGCGCTGGTTTCTTCCTGCGCAGAAATTGCAGTTAGCTGAAATTGTTTTTTTTGGTGGATGGATATGGAAACAAAAAAGCGAATAATTAGGGCAGAAAGCGACCCAGCCGTTGTGCGGTGAGCTTATCATCTTAGAACAACAACTCCGGATGGACCCATACTTTTGCTACTAATGGATGTAAAGATGCAGAGCCCTATTCGAGAACATATGAAGTGTCGCTGAAGCAAAACTGACCTTGGTAAGCCGCTATGAGAAGTTGGATAGGTGCCAATTTTGGTCAACCGCCTTTTGGTCGATATGCCCATTTGCTAGCCGTGAAGATCGCATGATTGGCTGCGTAGCTGACTCAAATACGGCGCAAGGTAAGTGGGGCCATGAGCCACGTGCATGTTTCAGCAAAACTCGTCCGGCCCGCCCTTCCTTCCTTTTGAGGTAAGAGGGAACACTTGTTAAGCAGCTTCACGTATCGTTCGCTTTGCGTTCTTTTTCGCCTCCATGGGAGACATGATTACTTCGCCGCTGTCACCTTTTCCTGTTGAGTTAGGGTATCTGCTGTGGGCCAGAGGGCTGCGCTCATGCTCGCATTATATCGCTGTCTCTGCATTGCCTGCTCTTATTTGTTGAATCGAGAGGAGATGTGCTGGCGACAGTCGTCAGACATCGCCGGTCGACAAGTTTATAATGGCCATACGCCTTTCTCACCCAGCCTTACAACCCCCTGACTACATGGGCATCCCTCTCATGAGCCTTTGGGGCACTACGACCATATTCTGCTACATTCGTTCATGCCCGGAACACATAATTGAAACCAATGAGGGCAGAACTCTTCGCTCAACGAGCAAAACAAGCCGATATTGTTCGGTGTTTCAGTGGTCCTAAAACTCCCAGGGTAATTACACTAGTTCTCCTTGCGCGCTTCTCGACAGTCCGTAGCATTGGCTATAGACACCGCAAATTTCTTACGAAAACACACCTTTCCGTAAGAAAGATACGAAGTTATACGATGACGCCAGCTGGTCCCTTCTAGCATTGCACCAAGCCTTCAGTTTCCCCTCTGGTTGAGAGAAGCATTTGAAGTTGCTAAGTATACATTATGACTTTCCGATTGAGGTCGTTGGCAGTATTTTCGCCATAATATTTTCCTGACCTTGTTTTCTCGAGTTTCTGGAATTCACTTACGCCTCAAAAGTATGCAAAATCGGCCCCGCGTGCACCTCAAAGGTACGGGTTGCGATCGAACGGTGCGTTAGTTCGCTCGAAAATGAAATAAGAAAGATAAGGAGGGCTGGACAGGCGTACAATGAAAGGAAAGCAATAGCAACAAACTTATTCCAAAATCTCCATTCCGGGCTCCCAAGTGCTCTCTCGCTCTCTCATCCCTCGTGAAACCGGGAAAAGTGGAGAGAATAGTGCCGAAGGAGAGGGACCGACACCAAGCCGGCTGGTACTTCCTCAATTGCTCGTACCCCGCGATTCGCTAGCGAGTCCACGAATTCGCAAATTCTGGCACCGGCCTTAGAGTGATGCCCCGTGTAGCTCACATCTGATAGACGCATTTGGATGGAATTCTACTGATGCAGAAACAACAATCGAGCAATTTTTAACTGCCATTGTGGTGTGGCGAATGCTGGCTGATTTCGACTGCGCCTGTGGTAAGGTTGGTCTACAGCTGAACCTAACGAAGACGATGTTTATGAGAAACGGATTGGTTCCTGATGCCCCATTCACGCTCAACGGAACGAACATCACCGAATGCTCCAGCTACGTGTACCTAGGTCGGGAAATCAATATGATGAACGATCTAGCTCCAGAGCTGAGCAGGAGGAAACGAGCGGCTTGGGGAGCGTACAAGAACATCGAGGGAGTAGTGAAGAAGACGAAGAACATCCGGCTCCGTGCCCACCTCTTCGATTCCGCTGTCCTTCCTGCCCTAACCTACGCCTCAGAGACTTGGACTCTGCGCAGGCAGGACGAGCATGCGGTCAGCGTTATCCAACGCGCTGTCGAGAGGACGATGCTAGGAGTAACCCTATACACGCAAGTGCAGAGGGGAATCCGGAGTTCGAACTACGCCAACGATCGAAGATCAGGGACGCTGCCGTTTTCGCCAAGGAATCGAAGATAAGGTGGGCCGGACACGTCATGCGATTTTGCGATGACCGTTGGACCAGAGCGGTTACCGACTGGATCCCTCGGGACGTCAAACGAACACCTGGACGACCGCCGGCCCGATGGTCAGACTTCTTCACGAAAGCTCTGAACGAAAGGAATGAACGACTTCGTGTCCCTCGAGCAAGGAGGATCCACTGGACCACTCTAGCACGCGACAGGGACGAATGGAGACGTTGCTGGCGCCCGCTCGAGCAAATCGACGATCAACGGGACGACAGGTGATACAGGTGATATTGTGTACTTGTCAATCATATAGTCACTCGAGCTCAATTGGTTTTTAGTTTCGCAGTCAATCTACCAGAGTGCTAGAACTGTCTGCGTCATGGCGAATGCGGCCAAAACAGCAGTTAATCAAAAAAACAAGTCAAAATTCATTGCTAAAGCTTTCAGCCTCGCGGTCATTGCCGATATCGGCTAACCGGCTCAACACGTTAGACGTGTGAGTGCTGAAAGCTATGGTACGTATACCATGAAAAGCTGAGTTGGAATGAAATGGTGCCCCGGTAGCGTAACTGGTAGCGCACTTGCCCGGAAAGCGAGAGGTGCGGGTTCTAGTCCCGCCTGGGGCGAAAGTTTTGTTCACAACCCAGCATTCTTGTGAAACATTCGCAACGCGAACTGCGGCGTTAAAACAGCAGTTAACAAACAAAACAAGTCAAAATCTTCAGGATTAAATTGATCCGAGAACTACGGAAAGCGGAACGTAAACTCACCAAAGCAAGGATCGCAGTCAGTGCAATCAAAGTCATAGCGACGAATGCTGTTTGGCTCACTCGATCTGCTTAAATAATACAGTCACATCATGGCTAAATCCATTTCTCGTGTAACGACAGCGGAGTCCGCTGAGTCAACAGTCCTTCCTCAAAAGACAATTCAAGCCTGTTCATTTTACACAATGGCTGTTTCTCATCCAATGAATAGGAGACAGTGGGCGCTTCACCAGCACTTCCTGCAACTCTTATACATGAATCGATAGGCGTTTAGAGGCGAGATTCCGCTATAGCTTTTAGAAACCAATTTAGAAGTGGTCAGTGGTGCAAAATAAAGAAAAATCATGAGAAATTGCCCAGAACCAAAGGAATGGGAGTTTCCTTTGCCCACTGATCTCCGCATTTTAGCCAATCTCTTGGTGCTGCCCGGTTCAGCGCTAACGCTCTCTCTCTGTAACGGTTAGAGTCAGACAGCGAGTTGTTGGCCAGTCGCTGGCGGTGGGCGTAGAGCGACAAGAGCTGCGCGGGGATGGCCATGCTAGATCGCCAGGGGGACATATCCTCCGCTCGGGAAAGCGTTTCATTCCCTCCACTCAAGAGATCAGCCGTCTTCCCCCTAGGTAGGTGATCTTCGCAGTATACGAGGGCATACTTTAAGACAACCTGGGAGGGGCCAGAAACCTAATGAACTTAAGAATTCTCATGCATCCTGGAGTATTCCCTTAGCCCCTCCCCAATGGCTTAGCCCCGTTTTTAACAGAAAGGAGATGCTTAGCGGTTTGAAATGCACTGCCACTACAATGCCCCTGTATCTTGCAGTGGGGCGGTTTGCTCTTTTTCTTTGATCTCCGATGTTATCATAAAACCTCATGTGAATGTGTAAGAATTGCGCTTGCCCAGCAGAGGAGTAGCTTCATTTGTTGCCCTTCTATAATGAATCCTTATCGAGCCCAGGGAGGTTGTGATAGTCGGGGACCTTGTCTTCGACTATTGCTGAGCACGAAAAGCAGATCGTCATTGGTAGGGTTCAGGGGTCACCCACAGCAAGAGACATCCTTTCCCCGAAAGCTACCTCTCTTTGATTCTGTTACAAATTTTTTGCATTGGTCTGATTTTCAGCAGTCGATTGAGCTGGCAACAGAGGATCATCCAGCCCGCACAACTCGTCAATGCGTTGGCCCGAAAGAAATTGCGTATTATTGAGATGTTGGAAGAAATTCAAAGTGGTGATTTCCGATGCCTGTAGTTATACCAGCAATTAAAGTGTTTCGCTGAATAGAGGAGGCATCAGAAATCACCACTTTGGCAGTCTTCTATTTGAATTCCTGCTTTCACACTTGAAAAGACTGTGAATGAACTGCTAACACTTGTTGCCTGACGGTCCGCAAGAAGAAACGACTTC